GCAGTTCCCACAAATAAAAAAAAAATAAACAATAAAATGCAACAAATTTTCAATAATTCATTGCATTTTACCCCGGTCCCCAATATGAAAAAAAAAAATCCTCTGTGTGCTCTTGCCTTGAGCCATAATGCATGGCCGTACAGAGGATTTGTTTATGTTGGGGACCGGGGGGAAATTCAATGAATTATTGAAAATTTAATAAAACCGAATCGAGCCTTGTAAGATGGAAACAAAATCCCAGTGCAAGTTATGCGTATTGTCTGCATCAACGTATACATCACTAGCTAATCGGGGGGGGGGGGCAGGGGGCCCTCCTTTTTGGGGGCGACCTAACAAAATGGAAATGGTAAAAAGAGAGAACGATGGAAGAACAACATGAGAAGAGAAAGAGAGAATAATGTAAAAAGAGAAGAAGATAGAGGATGCAGGAAAAGGAGAGAGACAGAGAGAGGGAGAGAGAGAGAGAGAGAAAAAAACAGGAAGACCATGAAATTCCCTGCTTACAGATTACATTTCCGATGAGTTGGCTCGACATGTGCTTAAAAGTTTGCGGACGAAAGTACAACAATAAAATAGAAGTTGTATAAAATTTTCTTTAAGAGAGAAAGAGATTATTTCTGAAATTGAATGAAAGGGGCTAAGTGACTTTTGAGGAGGAAATTTACAATTTCTGTCGCTCGTGACGACTATTTGGAACTTACACCTTTTAAGAAAAATTCAAGAACCCCATCCGCTTTGATATACGTGTTTCTCAAGACAACCTTGTTGTATAAAATAGGAGAGAATGTCAGTTTCATGTAGTTAAAGCTTCTAACAACCACTCCCGTGGACTGGGGGAGGGCGGAGGGGCCTGGGAGCCCCCCTCACTCGAAATTTTCGGAGATTGCGCCGCAACCGCTTGGAATTTTAAATTTTCGTTTCATGAATTTTTTCCCTCAAGTATAAGCACATTTTGATACCGTTTTCGTCGAATACTGGATATACCTGTAAGGTGTTATATAACAATCAGTATGCACATGTCATCAAACAAGGTTATCGCTATAATTGCAGATATTCATGTACAAGCAGAAATGTGAATACAGGTTTAGATGTATTTCTTCATAAGTGGGAGATATGAATTGATATCAAATTCGATATGTTTCTCAAAGTAACGGGGAGCTCAAAATAGCCCAACGCAGTAAGGGTTAAAGACTACCGGCAAAGGTTTTGCCCCTGTACCTCATCCGTAAAGAAAGAAGTGGTTCCCAAGACATTCTTTAGTTGTATAAAATTGGAGAGAGTGTGAGTTTTATGTAGTTAAAGCTTCTGACAACCACTCCCGTGGGCCTTCTATTATTTACAAAATTTGTAAATGGTTGTAAGACAAGAAATATTTTCAGCTAAATTACGAAATCAACTACCATCATTTGATATAATTTTATCAGCTGTAAAACGTTATTATGAAATGGAAAAATATATATATCAAACAAATCTCAGAGAGAATAAATTGAAAAAGAAATGGTTTCACTTCAGAAAATGTTTTGAGGGTGTTGGAAATGTGCTAACATAAACATGATCATGTATTTTATGTTTGTTTTTGTTTTTTAATTATATATTTAAAGTAATAATTTTGTCATAAATGTTTGTTTTTATCTGCCACAAAAGTTTTCAGCCGTGATGATTATTATCTGAGTTAAGCCATTATGTATGGAAATTATTTATTTAATTATTTGTGTATGACATATGGATATACTGTATAATTATGATGGAACTTGTTTTGAAAATAAAGAACCCTGTGGAAGGGGGAAAAATAATTAAAAAAAAAAAAAAAACTTCGTTAGATGTCGCCAACATTCGTCAGAAAAGTTGGCGACATCCTTGTTATGCAGATGGTTTTTCTACCATTATTTTTTTTTTTTTTTTTTTAAATGATATTTTATTTCCTTCCTCACAATTTCACATAACAAGAAATTCACATAACAAGAAATTATCAAGATAAGCAATATAAAACAAGATCTTTGATACAAGACATTTCATAAGTTACATCAATCAATGAACATAGAGAAAAAAAAAGGAAAAAAAAAAGTCTTGCATGTAACAGTGAATAATCAAAATAACAGTAGAGGAAGGTTTAAAATTACATATTACCATCCTATCACAACACTCTCACACTCCCCCCCTCCCCTCTAGCCCACCCACACCACCTTTCACACACATACAAACACAAACACACACTGCATGCAACCTGTTCCCTCAACTCACACCACACAAACTCTTAAACCCCCCCCCCCTAGCCCACCCATCTCATCATACCCCCTTCACGCCGACACACACACTGCATGCAACCTGTTCCGGTTTGTCCACCTGTACACGAGAGAGAATTAATAATACTACTAATGATAATAATACCCACATCCATTAAAGTAAAAATGCATCGATTTGTTCCCATTTCTGTAAGTGCATCCCCAGTTTCCCCTTTTTGAAGGCTATTTTGTATTCCTCGTCTCTGTAATTTTTAAGCATATGTACTGTTTTCTGTACAGATGGCAAAGTTCCTTCTTTTCTAGAAATAAAAATGATATACTTTACTAAAAATATGATACAATTTATTACAAATATTCTCGCAGTATTGCCGGATATTCCCATAAAAATGGGTTTCCAATCATCAATGTCAATTTCGATTAAATGTAACTTTTGAATTACCTCCTGCCATAATCTTTTAACTTTAAGACAATCTAAAAATAAATGTTGGTATGTCTCTACTTCTAGTCTACAAAAGGAACAAAAATGGTCTGACTCAAAACCAAATTTAAAGAGCTCTCTTTTCGTATATACAGCCCCTTGTAATTGTTTGTATTGAAACTCTCTATGTTTATTACAAAGCATTGCACATTTCATCCTTGTGAATGTTTCTTTCAACTCCGTCGTTCCAAGATCAAATTGACAGTTGCCATCTGTAACATGTAATGTATACTCTTTTTGAAGGTCTTCAATGAAGTAATCATATAACCGCCTGGATTTTATATCACATAGTTTCTGTAAACGTCCAAATATCATCAATTCTATTTCAAAATTTTCAGTGTCCACTTCCATAAAATCACTTTGTATCCAATCGTTTCTAATTGCTGAAAAGATCTTTTGAATTCTAAGCAAGCTTTTAGTTTCAAAACCCAAATTTAAAAAATGTAAGATCGGTTTTAAATGACCTCTGACAATTATATCTGATGCTTGAAGTATACCTTTCTGAAATAGTTCGACATCAAAAAATGTTTTATTGCTGAGACAAATACACTTGTTGCTAAATATAATCGGATTATTCTTATTTTCTCCAAAGTGTCTGCATTTATCTAATTCTTGCCATGCCTTCAACATGTCTTTATAAAAAGATGGTATACCCTTCAAGTCCATTTTATTTATATCATAATTACAAAGAAATATAATTCGACCCCCCAGTGATCTGAAAAAGTGGTCAAAGGTTACTTTCCAACCTGAATACTTTTCTCCATAGAGCAACCGTTTGATCCACATTATTCTCTGAGTCTTGATAAATATCTTAAAATTCGTTACTCTGAGTCCCCCAGCGCAATAATCTTGATATAATATTTTCCGTTTTATTCTGTCTCTCCCTCCCCAAATAAAATTAAAAGAAATCTTTTCGATTTCTTCAAAAATGTTTTGTGGGACTGTCATAAGAGACGAAACATAATTTAGTTTTGAAAATACATATATCTTCAACAATTTAATTTTGCCAAACATCGTTAAATCTCGTTGCTTCCACCAACCGATTAGTCTTTTGATTTTGCTCAAAATTTCATTATGGCTCCGTTTAGTCTCATTTCACAACGCCCCCTATCGTCAGAGCATGGTCAGATTCAGCAGCCTAACATGTTAGCCTATGGACGTTTTTTTAAAAAATCGTTAAAAATTCATTTTTTGTTTAAACGAAAAGCACATCCACCCCGACGTACGTTATCACTAGCTCTTTCATTGGAGCCCTAATGTCTCATTGACTTTTTAAAGTTCACCCACCGTAATTTTTCAAAATAGGTTGCAAGCTCGTCATTGCCTATAATACACATGTGAAACAAGTCTAACTTTGGACTCAGTTTACCAAGCGATTTGAAGATTATAGGTCGAGCACACGAAACATAAAAAGCATGAATTATCATAGATCACTTCTGCCTATTTCATTATGTCCATTTCATCCAACCCCCCACCGTAATTTTTCCATTTAGTAAAAGCAAACATTTTGCCGAGTTTAGCAAAAACATGAATATTCATGAACGGTCAGACAATACAGCCTTTTAGTACGTAACGTATAGTGATTGGGAATGTGCGATGATCCGTGTAGGAGGTATAGGTAAGTGGTTTGTGCTGGCAATGTTCACGCGAGCGAAAATGAGACAATCGGAGCAATATGTCGGACCAGAAGTGCGTTTCAAACTCACTGATGTGGGCATCATCCCATTGAATGTTAGGTCCAGGATTTAGGTATTAAGGGTGTGTCCTGCTGCCCGAATACAAAATTCGCTGCCCGGCCTTTGTGTGCTCTTTAAAAAGAGCACACAATATGGGCAGTGCAATTTATCATGCAGATTGGATTCTGTGAAATACTATTATTCTTATCAGGTGAATGAAAAAGTTTGTATCGAGGCACTTGATTAACTTGGGGTGTCATTGAGAATGCCGTAGATTTGGCCACAATCCGTTCTGGATTTCAGTACCTCAGCGGTCACCCCGCTGTTACTATAGTAGCTTCTCGAGTTTGCACACGTACCGCAGATTCTCCGTCCGCGTTGAGCTGGCGAAAACTCCCCATGAACTCGAGACCTCGACCACCTCATAAAGGGAAGGCACGGGTGGGATGACGCAGAGGGGGTGCAACAGATTTCATGGACTGCCTACTTCCCTGATAATTATGAACCCTATTGAACATTGGACTCTGGCTATACTATATTCATTGTCGCCTACCTGCTGCATTACGTGCCTTCGATTTCTTGGATCATTCGTCTCTCGTCAACATGGCGTCCATAAAGAAGATACTGAGGCTGAAGATATTCTTGTGCTTGCTTTTAGTATATTCTGCATCTAGCTTTCTCATTTACTTAAGGAAATCAGTGTTTCAAAAGATTACTTTGACCGAAACGCATTCTGAAGTGCGAAAAGCGCTACATGAAGTTGAAAACGAGACTCGCTTATCAAACTGTTTTAGTGATGAAGAGAAACTGCTTGGTTGGAGACAGACTGTTCACTGGGAGTCCAAATTAGACCAGCATGAGTATCGCTATCTCATCAACCCGGAGAATGGATGCAAGAAATCAGAAAACTTGACATTGGTTATCCTCGTAAAGACAACAGTGGGTAGTGTAAAACGGAGGAATATCATCAGAGAAACGTATGGCGAGGGAGTGGTTAAATACAATGTTTCTGCGAAGATTGTATTTCTTACTGGATTCTCCGGGGAATATAATTCCACTCTGCAAGCCCAGCTCCAAAGTGAGGCTGATATTCACGGAGATATTGTACAAGAGGACTTTATTGATAGCTACTACAATCTAACCATTAAACTCATCATGGCCGCCAAATGGGCATCCACATTCTGTAACAATAGTTATTATGTAATGTCGTTAGATGACGATGTCATCGTCGACATCGTTAACCTTGTCAACGATCTCGAAGCAAATACGTTTCGTTCGAAGTTTGTGTTGGCCGAGCCTGCAATTGACTGGAAAGTGCATCGGGATCCTGGAGACAAGTGGTACACTCCATATCAATTCTATCCGGAGGAGTCATGGCCTCCTTTTCCTCGAGGATACGCGTATATCGTCTCCAGAGATGTCGCCCATGATCTCTATCGTGCCTCTCAGAAGATGGCTGCACCGATACCCTGGGACGATGTATATTGTGGTATGCTCTTACAGACATTAGGGGTGGAGATGAGAAATATAATACCTTGGTTTCAGACTAGACATGGACATGAGAAACCAATAGCTCCGTTGAAAACTCAAGACCACTATGTGATTTGGGATTCTGTACAGAAGCCCCCAAGGAATACCTGGAGAGCAATTGAACATAGATACAAGAACATTCACAACTTGTAGCGAAGTTTGCCCGTCCAGGAAGATCTTACATAGGAGAAGCCGTACGATGGATCGACAATGTGTTATTTCATTGATTTCCTTTCGTATTCATTTTTTCAGAGTTTTGAAACAATTGGGGACGTCGTTTTGCAAATAGGTCAAAGTTTGATATACACAAGTAAATAGATGTTAGTTATGAACGGAAGTCATTCACAGGATACTTTCAAATCCAACGTGGGGTTCAACAATGTGATCCTCTGTCACTATATTCATTTTTATTAGAAATTGAGATTTTGGCGAACGTAATCAGGAAGAAAAATGTTATTCATGCAAATGATGTAACAATCTTAAACCAGATGTGAAATTACGAACAGTTCAAAGTTAATTTTTTTTTTAGATCGCCAACGAGCGAAGGGCGAAAGTCAGAAAGAGGGGTTTGCCTGCCACTACCACACAAACTAAGTACACCTTGTTCATTCTAAAGATTTTATCATAATACACAATATTTCATATGTGTTTTTCTTAAATTTGTTGCGAACACCCCTAAATCGGAGGGGGCGTCCAAAACAGAGGCCCTTTTGACGAAAAAAAGTATTTTGTGAATAAAATTTTGAGGGAACCTTGAGCCACCATGAATGTGGTGTCATATGAAAGCAATTTAAATTATATATATTTTGATAACAATATCAACGGAATAGTGATTAATTAACATCGAAACTTTAAGTGAAAAACATGATTTTTGTGATTTTTTTTCTCGAATATTAAATTATATAAAAGAAAAACGTTATTTTCCATCAATTTTTTTCGTTATTTTCCAGGAATTTGCCCATGTACATGGACAATATCATATCATAGCCAAGGTGGGTTACATATGGTTAAAATTGAGAAACAGATACTGAGTTTTCGTTTAAGATGGCTTGGTAGATTATTGGATGACAATAAAGGTCCATGGAAAGATATGTGTAATTATTGGTTTGATTTGCTAAGTGGCGTAAGTCTTCTGTTAAACTGTAACTTTGACCATAAGTTATTCAATGTGCAGAAATCGCAACTTCCTGATTTCTATCTAGAAATATTATAAGCCTGGAATTATGTGAAAGGTTTTACTTGTAGTGATAATTATTCTGTACAAGATATTTATAAGATTTTATAAGTAAATAGTATGGCATAACAAGGATATTGTATTTGATACGAAGTCTTTATTTTACGCAGATTGGTTTGGTTGTGGAATAATTTATCTAAAGGACCTTTTTGAAGTAAGACATTTTTTGTCTATTAGAGACCTGTCAGTACGCCTTGAGACTAAAAAAAGCAAGCAAAATCTTTTATTCGATTATACTAAATTGAAGAAAGCTATTCCAAAGATATGGTTCAGTGATCTTTCAAAGGGTGAAACTGAACCAGTATATTATACTCACTCTCTAGAAATTCCTTATTTTAAATTTGGAAGAGTGTCTTTACTTATCAGAGACGTAAGCAGCAAACGTTTATTCAATCTGATATCTTTTAAACGTACATTCAACAACAGATGCTGTCTTTTTTGGGAAAATATACTACAAAGAAATATTGACTGGTCTCCCGTGTTCAAAAGGAATTTAACATACAAGGGAACATCGCTTAAAGGAGTTTAATTTTAAATTGCTCTACAATATACTACCTGTTACTAGTTAGAAACAATCTTTACAAATGGGGATTAGCAGACGACAGATACTGTTCCCAGTGCAATGTCATAGAGGACATAGTGCATGTGTTTATCGAATGTGAACAGAATAAGAATTTCTTTGATTATATTAAACATGTTGTGAAGTACACTTTTAATATTGATTTTGTCATGGATATCTCTTGATTACTTAAGATTAATATTGCCAGAGAGATATACGTTGTAACAACGATCGCATTCTGGTGTATATACAAAATGTTAGTCATCCGGAATTAGTATGGATTTAATGAAAACCGTTTCAAACTAAGATACGTATTTGTTAGAGAAATCAAAAACAGAATTGTTGTATAAAATCGGGAGCTTAAAAAGCCTGACCCGAGGTTGCCAAAGAGACTGTTACAAGCACTTTAGATGAAAAGAAGCAAAATATTGTAAAGTTGAGAAAAAATATGTGATTTTTATTGATAAACAGTGTGCGTCAATTGTATTTGTTCTCACAACTTTATTTTGATGTTTGAATGTAAATAAACACCTCATTAGAGGCAAAACAAAATCATGTGTACAGGATAGGTTTGTATCTCTGTTCAGTGAAAAGTTATAGCAACCCAAAGTTATTGATTTGATTTCCACAAAAACAACAAATTTTGCCCACATGTCCATTAACTGTATGCATATACGTGTAGTGTATTGAGGACGTGTTTGGTGTGTTTACATCGACAGTTAAAGATAAGTTTTTATTTATTTATTTATTCAGTTTTATTTAAAAACAGGGTAGTCTTTTCAGTGCCAGAGGCCTGCTTTACAAAAGAGCCCTGTACATACAAAGATTTACAAAAAAATGGAATACATTGTAGAAAACAAAGACATTATATAAACAACATACCATAAGAGAACTAAACAACTTAAAAACTAGATCAAAATTAACATAAGGCCTGAACTATTAAACATTAAGATATTATTGATACAATACAAAATACAAATACAAATACACATGCCATAAATAAATAACAGACATAAAATCAAAATGGTAAAAGATAAGAAAAGAAATAAAACTACTACAGACTACACAACTACAAACTACACAACTACAAACAAACAAAACAAACAAAAATAACTGTAATAAGTCATAATATAACATTAGGTACCAGTGCATGCATTAAAGTGGAGGGAGTGATTTAATTTGTTTTTTGAACATTTGGATTGAAGTTGCCGTGCGAATATGAATTGGTAGATTGTTATAAATGCTTGGAGCGATGAAAGAAAAAGATCGTTTTTTAAATCCAGTCTTGGGTTTTGGGATAAATAAGGGATTCAAGGTAGAATGACGAGTAACATAGTAAACTGGACGTTTACAAGCAAAAGGTTCTAAATAATAAGGGGCTAGATTATTGAGTATTTTGTAGACGAAAATGCAGTAGTGCTAGTTGATTCTATTTTCAACACTTTGCCATTGAAGAGTGCTTAAAAGGATGTCTTTGGGGGTTAGATAGTCTGCATTAAGGACTAATCTTGCATATCTGTTCTGCGTCCTCTGTAATTTGAGTAAATCTTTCTTTTTGCACTTGCCCCAAACAACTGAACAGTAATCTATATGTGGAAGAATGAGGGAGTAATAAAGATGTTTCAGTAGGCTTTGGTTCAAATAACTCTTAATCCTTCTAGTGCATGCAATTGCCCGATTAATCTTATTAGTCACATTCAATATGTGTGGTGTCCAACTTAGACTTTGGTCAAGGGTTACGCCTAAATATTTGATCTCGGTAACATTCTCAAGATAGTCTCGTCCATGATAGATTTTCAAAATTTGGTTCTTAGTTTTATGTTTCGTTCCAAAGACCATCACTTTAGTTTTCTTTACATTTATTTCCATACTATTTATTTCAAACCATTTACGCAGTAAATCATAATATTTTTGTAGTTTCTTCTGACTGCTTTTTAAATTGTTACCTTTACAAAACAGTGCCGTGTCATCAGCGTACAGAGCAATTTTGGTTTGTTTACTAAATTTCAAGTTACACATATCATTAAGAAATAAGCAAAAAATTAGGGGGCCCAAAATAGACCCTTGGGGCACACCAGAGTAAATCTGTAGAAAATTGCTTTGGACACCTTGAAATGAGACGCATTGTTGCCTATTCGTTAGGTATGAAGAGAACCAGGCTAATTCAACAGAATTAATACCATAATATGGCATTTTTAATAACAATATTTCGTGAGATATAACATCAAACGCCTTTTTGAGATCAAGGAATATCGCCCCTGTTATCAAACCACGGTCAATATTGTTTAACAAGTAATCAGTTATTTCAATTAGACAAGTTGCAGTTGAATGCTTTGGGCGAAAACCCGATTGGCGCTGAGATAGCAGTTTGTATTCTTGGAGATACTCATAAAGCTGGGCATGGACTGCCTTTTCAAGTATTTTGGACAGACAGGACAATAAAGAAATTGGCCTATAATTGCCAATGTCACTTGTTTCACTACTTTTTGGTACTGGAATAATCTTGGCTCTTTTGAAATCACTTGGGAAGCATCCTGAGCTTAGAGATTTGTTAAAGACTATTGAGAGTGGTTCAGCAATAAAAGGGGCAGCGATTTTCAATAATCTTGGATGTAAGTCATCCAGACCAACAGCTTTGTTAACATCAATTTTCCCAAGTTCTCTTTTTACAAACTCCGAATCTATGCTTTGGAATTTAAACGTTGATCCAACCTTTGATAATGTATTCAAGGAATTAAAACTTTGTTGGTTAAGAGGGGAATGTCGTTTTCCAACACTAACAAACAATTCATTGAATGACGTTGCAATTTCTACTTTATCTGAAGTCATATGAGTCCCTGTGTTAATATTCGGATTAACTGAAACCTTTTTCTTCGGGAGTAATTTTTTCAGGACTTTCCACGAATCTTGCAATTTGTTTGCACATTGTTGAAATTTGTTGCGAAAAAAGTCCCTTTTAGTTTCTTTCTTACTGTAACATGGGGAGCATGTTTATCAGCTAATGCCTTGAATGCTTCACTGAATTTCTCCCAGCAATACTCTACGTCCTCTTCGGACGATAATAGATCATTCCATTGTATTTTACATAGGTCTTCGACAAAATCTTCGACGACAAAATGCCTGAACGATCTAAATGAAAAGATTTCGGGCTTAGCTTTTGGGGTATTATGTCCAAGGATCAAATAGACTAGGGAGTGGTCACTACGTCTTAGTCCACTTGAAATTGTTCCAGATTGCTTTATATTGGATAACATTGAACTAGAAACACAAATAACGTCAATTAAAGTACTGCTGAAAGGAGTTATTCTTGTTGGTTCTCGGATAAGCTGAGTTAACTGAAAGGTGGAACAAAGTTCATGC